GCTCTCTCTCTCTCTCTTGCGCGCTCTTCTTCTCCTTGTTCTTCTTCTAGGGGTGTTGCAGAGCTCGAAATCTCTGCTGCGGCTAGGCTTCGAATCCCCGCGCAGTGGTTCGAGTTCCTCTCCCAGGAGGTCCGGAGTAGTACTAGTAGTACCCATGCGGATCAGGCAACTGGATAAAAGGTGACATATACCCTATTTGGGGAAGCGCGCTCTCTCTGTCTCCCTCTTTGAAAAATGTTTATATCGTGCTGCGCTTTCTGGAAATGCTAAGAATATATTCGGTACACAGACCATTGCCCATGGCTCGAACTGGCCCCCATGACTCCTTGAAAGTCTAAACTCCAAAGCCTACTGTAAGCCCTGAAAGCCATGCTCTAAACCCTAAAGCTTACACTCTGAACCTGGTCCCGCAGCCCCGAACCCTGAATCAAGCTTAAAACGCTCAACTGAACCTTCTAAAGTTTGGGGTGAATCATGCTAAGGTTATGACGTCACGGGGCAACAAACTTACCTTTGGTTAGCTGGGAATGAAGGAATGGGTCCTTCGAGAGTTCGTTATGACGTCACATGAGGGGGACGATAGTACTAGCGATTCAGCTAAGCCGGCAAACCCTAAACCCCAGAGACAAAAAAACACCTCGTGGCTGGAGGCTGCGGCACTCGCGCCATTCAACACCTCCAATCGTTTAGGGCTCAGGGTGGTTTCTCAAAGGTATTGTTTAGGTAGACCCCCCACCCAGTAATAGTGACTATAAGGAATAGTAGGGATTATATTAGGGTCCTCTTATATTCCTATCATACCGCTATTACAGGGTGGGGGGTCGTCCTAAGGTATTGTTGTCTTTTAGGCACCCGAGAATAAAGACCCCTACTTCCCCTCAATAGGGGGAACCTAATACAGACCCCAAAATACTAGAACAGTTACTAGGGTCCTTATTCTGGGGACCCCCAAAAAGTTTGGGAAACCTCCATGTGTATTTGACGGAGACCCGAAAGCTAGGGAATGAAGGGCGCACTTTCGATGAAGAAGGCATGAGTTTAGCCGTATTTGTGCCTGAATATCGCCTCGTCCCAGTAGTAACGCATGGCGGCCCCAACTGCTGAATTACACATTCCGAGGCTCTAAACCGTGTACGCATGAGAGCTTAGAGTCATTCTCTGGGGTCTACCTAGACCCTGGATGTCGGACGTCCTACCTTTCTGGGTAAATGCCGAATCATTTACCTACAAAAATAAGACAGAACCCATAAAAGGAAGGACAAAGGGTCCAGGTATTGTGTAAGAAACGTTCAACATGCCCCAGGGGCATAACCCTACAAGAAATTCTGGGGGTATGCCAAAGTTCCCTCGGATCCTCCTTCTGGGAAGCCTTTGAGGTCAAGGGGTATGGGTTTGGTGTAGCCTAAACCCTAAACACTGGACCCTGAACCCTAGACACTAAGCCCTCAACCTTACACCCTGATCCTGTGGGTATAGTCCCCCTTAAGTAGATAGAATATGGCTTTGGATCTTTTAGAATAAGGTCCCTATATACCCTAGATTCTATCTACTTAAGGGGGACTATACATAAACCCTAAACCCTAAACCCTAAACCCTACTATAGCTCTTCAACAAGTTTAACACCTGCCGAAATTGACTGCCCAGGCAGACAAGCGCCAGGGATGGGTTGTTGGGACTTCACAGGGTTTAGGGTTTAGGGTCTAGGCTTCAGGGTTCGGGGTTAAGGGCAACCGCCCCCTCCGCCGTAGCAATAATAACATAATAATATCTCCATCACATGTGATGCCTCTATATTTGGGGGACGCTTACTATTCTTCGGTGGGGAGTACCATGGTTTGTTGCTGGTATTTCTGTTGCTGCTGTAGTTCTAGTGCTACATTCGGGGGAATGTTCATTAGTAGGCGGGTGCGGGGCTTGTTACTAGTGGGGGGCAATGGTTTACGTGCAATTTCAGAGGGGGAGTTTGCAATGGGAAGGTTTTAAAGGGGATATATAAACGGCCATACAGGGTGTGAGAGGCTTACGTAAGGACAACTTCCCCTGAATTTGGCGTACAACCCGTACCCATTCTGGGGTGGCACTTAAGGTTTTTTTCAGGGTTCATATAAAAAACCTAGACAATTCAAATTCGTGCTGCGCGTAGTATATTTTAGAATATCTATTCAAGGGTTACAAAGGAAGACCCTAAACGCAAATGATATTAGCAATAATGGGTAATTTCTCAAAATAGGGGGACCCCAAAATAGACCCCAAAATACTATAATCCTTATTATGGGGACCCGCTCAAAAAGGTACCCTAATTTTGGGAACCCTAAACCCTACAAACCCCAAACCCTAAACCCTATATAGCCCCATATATCCCCTATATAACCTCTATATTCGCCCTTTTAAAGGGACCCCTTCCCGCTTCCAAGACTCTGCTTTAGCTAGGGTCTCCCCAAACCATTTCGCTGATGGGCGAATCGAAAGGTATGTGTTGCTCAGGTGTTTAGGGCTCATACATCAGGGTTTAGGGTTAAAGGTTCAGGGTTTAGGGTCATTTTGTGTGAAGGGGTGCTCTATTCACCTTTCCTCTCCCTTAACCCTAAACCCTATAACCCTAAGCCCTAAAATCCCCTAAACCTATAAACAAAACTCGTTGAAGGTGCAAGCCTCCAGTCCCGACCTTGAAACCTGCAACCCAAGATGATCTAATAGGGTTTAGGGTTCAGGGCTTAGGTTTTAGGGTTCCTCAATATACATGCAAAATCCTTAAACTTCGAATGGGCATCCCAGACAAGAAATAAGAGGACCAACTACAGAACAAGCTCTAATAGAACTTCAGCCCGACCGAAACAACCTTACACCCGACCATACCCTAATCCCTTCAGGCATACACTCCCAGCCCCGCTTCCCCTTACAATTGTGGGTGTTTAGGGCTCATGATTTGTGAGTTTAAGTCCACTGATACTAGTGATATGGTGGATACAAATACTGCATGGCCTAAAGTAATATGGTGGATACAAATACTGCTTGATTTAAAGTGCTTTATACCTTGGGCACTGTTGTAGTGTATTATAAGCAGCCCGAAACCATAGACACGAAACCACCCAAGGTCATGCAGGCAGCTTTGTATCAAAAGTGGCATTTCTAATACTGACAGTAGCTCCCTAAACCCTAAATCCGAAACCCTAGACCCTAAATCCTAAACCCTAAACCGTAAATCCTAAACCCTAAACTCTAAATCCTAAACCCTAAACCCTGTAGTAGCTGAGGACCTGACTGCCGCTGCAAACTTTAGAGGCCGACCATCTAAGCTTTGCAGCCTCCCGAACCAGGGTTTAACGCATAGGGTTTTAGGGCTTAGGGTTTGGGGTGGTGCGCAAGGCATAACCTTTAAGGCTTCAGTATTCTGAACTCCTTACATCCATAGTCTATGTGTAGATATATATATATATTTATTTATCTACATAATGTATGTGATATACATTTATGCATGTATAGGAAGCTGGTACTCCTATATGTTAACAGTACATATATGTCTGTTATATATATATATACTTATATAAAGAGCAGTACCATATTACATGAACATTCCAACATGGAAGCGCTAGTGTTCTCCATCATGTTACCAAAAACGGACGAGATGTAATTTGCCGAATTGCTGGGTGTCCCCGCACAAGGAAGGCAACCAGTCTCTTATTCTTGAGTACCCACGTGTCTGGATTCGTGAAGGGTTTAGGGTTTAGGAGTTCACAGCGGGCCCAATACCGCTTCCTTCAGGAATATACACGTCATAATACTAAGGACCCTAATATGAATGAAGATGTATTGCTTGATAAAGGGGTATTGGGCTCCCTGGGTTAAAGGTCCAATTTAGGAAAGCAACACCGCTAAAAGTAGTAGTGGTGCAAGAAATGTGAAGAAGCAGACTCCACTAAAGCCACCATGACTATCAGAGTCGAGTAAGCCCGATAGCGGTGGGTTTAGGGTTTAGGGTTTAGGGTGGGTTTAGGGTTTCGGGGTTTAAGGTTTAAGGTTTAGGATACGGACTTTCAATGGAGCTGTCACCGAGCTAGTCTCGTAAAGGCTAAGTAGGTACCAATCTTATTTTGAGGTTCATGTGAGTTACTGACCCTAAACCCTATACCCTATATGATTTTTGCAAGGAAAGGAATAAACAAATATTGGTTGTTCATTAGGTTTCTGGGAGGGCCCAAAACCCGTTTTAGGATTTTGGGTTTGACCCGAATCTGGATTAAGGTATATTCCTTAATTGAGGGGTATTGGCCTCCCTGGAAAGTCACGACCAGTCCATAATAAAGGGTAACTTTACAGACTTTCTGCACGCAAGGTGGGATCCTCTTTACATCACACCCACTATAGACCCAAATATACTATGAGCCTTGTCATGGGAACCCCTACAAAGACGCTGAACCCTAAACCTTAAACTTCAGACCCTAAACCAAGAAACCCTAAACTTTAGATCGGAAGGTGGGCAGGATTTAGGTGATACCTCAGAATGTGTCTAATGTTTCGGGCTGGACATGGTTGGGAACTTCCAATAAAGTCGGGTTCCTTTAAAGGGTGGTCTAAGGGATATAGGGATTTGTAGGGATCCAAACTTAGGGTTACCGTGTTGGGGGGGGGTCCCCATAAGAAGGATCATGTCAATTTGGAGTTCAAAATAGTCCCACCATTTATGGAAACCAAAAATATTTTCAGATGTTCCAGAACGCCAAGCGCATGAACATTCCGTGAATGGCACTGAACATGACTTGGCTTACTTCGTGTCTAAGGTGCTGGCTTCCCTTGTGGTTGGCAAAGGCTCGACTTGAATGCGGACTTGTGGTTAAGGGTTTAGGGTTTAGGGGTGCCTATGATTTTGACCCCAGCCTGGGACATTCCGTCATACACAAATAGAGGGTGGTGCAACTTTTCCTCCATCCACCAAGGTACTGTACCCGGCTGCAATCAAGCTTAAACTCTCAAACCTAGGCCCAAGCTAGGTAGGTATGCTAACCCCAAACCCTAAACCCCTAAACCCTAAAAATACAATGTCCTAGATGTCACTCTATCCTACAACCTGGTCTTGATTTGCTCGTTTCCCCTCTAGGACCCGACAACCCCATGAAGCATCAGCACTTCCGCCTGTCGATGCCGCAGTGCCACGACTGGCCGACAGTTAGTCTTGGGTATATGGTAGTTTCCCTAAATTACTGTTCCTAAAATGGGGGAAATTTATATAGGGCCCCGTATTATAATAGGAACCTAAATATAGGACCCCGTATTAACAGTAATTCAGGACACTCCCCATATACAAGGTCTAGGGAGTCTGGGGCCTAGGGTTTAGGGTTCACGGCTTGCAGTAGAATCGAAGATGTCAATGAAATGAGCGGAACGAAACGAGGAAGGACCCAGATTATAGAGGATTTAGCTAATAGAGTTATCCTTAGCAGACTTACCACTAGCTATAGATAACCCTAACATTAAGCTTTCATAGAGGTCTGTATGATATTTTGTGAATCTAGATGAAACGTAGTACCAAGAGTTATTAAGAGCCGTAATAGACTTTAGAATTACTGGACATCCTGCAATCTTCTCTGGAGTCTTCTCCTTGTTCACTTTATTGCCTTGAGGTCTTACAGAGCTTCTGTTGGACGTCACAAAGTCACTGCCGCTGGAGTAAGGCTCGGCATCACTTTGGGGTCGACGGTTAGGCCTGCACCACTGTAAGGACAACTGTAGCCTTTATGTGATAGACCGCAGAAGACAGGAACATGCAGACATTTATCAAGTCGCCATCAAACTCGTCATGAAAGGTTCCCTGATATCAGGATATAACGATCCAGCTAGGGTTCAAGGTTTAGGGCTTACTGCTTTTAATCATCTCCAAATAATCCTCAAAGCGGGTCCCTAATGCTCCCTTTGTAAGGCCCTGAAATCCTACCAGGACCCTAACATTATGTAGAATAATGGTCTCGTGACTATGTTTACAGGTTTTGGGCGATGATTCCACCTATACTTTTGGGGATCCAGGTAGCTCCTCCCCCCACCCCAGCGTGTATAATATCCCTATATATAACCCCAGTAGTAGTTTCCATGTTCTTTCCTTTATTCCCTATATACAACCCAATGTAATACAGTAGCTTGTATTTTCTCAGACTGTTCAATCCAGCCTTCGGACTTGCAACCGAGACTGGAAGATAGGATTTTTGTTTGCTGAAAGGCCAAGATACCAATCCAGATCTAACCCCCCACGCCCCAAGACCCTAAACCCGAAACCCAAAACCGCACACTTTGAAATCCAAGCCCCTCAAATCCTCGAAGCTCAGACTAAACCCCCCAAAGGCCAGAACACCCATCACCCCAAATCCCTAAGTCCCTAAACCCTCAAGCCCTGAACCCTCATTCGCGAAACCCTAAACCCTCAATCTCGAAACCCTAAGCCCTCAAATCCCCAAACCCTAATTCAGCCCTCAAACCCAAACCCTAGTGTCATAGCCTGCCATGGCCCCCCCAGAGTACTAAGTCTTAAGCCCTACTAGTCTCGAATAAGCCCTGAGAAGGCCCTTGATTTGTGGGGCGCGCAATATATTGAGAGGCCCTGAAGCTAGGTAATATATGATATCCCCTTAAGAAGCCCATGGTGAAATTTACTGCAATAAGGCCAGAACCCCACCCCTACACCCTCCCTAGACTCTTAACTCTATGTCCCTAAATCACCCCAAATCCCTGAAGCCCAACACCTTACACCCGAAATCCCCAAACCCTAAACACCCTGAATCCCTAAACCCTCAGCTCGAAACCCTAAACCCCAAAGACCTAAACCCTGGAAACTCTAAACCGTAAACCCTGAAACCCTAAACCCTATACCTTCAACCCTCAAGGCATTCTCCACTGTACTCAGAAACCCTGACACAAGTTCGGGATGGCCCTGGTGCCGTCGGCGAACTCGACATGGATTTGGCCAGGCCTCGGGGGGAGGGTTTAGGGCTCAGGGTTTAGAGGGTTTAGGGTTTAAGGTTTGGGGTTCATAGGGTTTAGGGTTTCCAGGCTAAGGGTTTGGGAGTTAGGGTTTATAGGGTTTCAGGGTGTGGGGTGTCAGGGTTTAGAGCTTTGGGCTTCAGGCTTATGATTTCAGGGTTGAGGCTTTCGGGGTTTAGGGGGATCTGAAAGCGAGACCGGAAGAGCTGCAAGAACGATGGTAATAGCCATTGAGAAGTTGATCTGAATGTCCTCTGGGGATTTCTTTGGGTTCCTGTAGGTCCATTTTAGGAACAGGAAGTTTGTTCAAGCTGTTAGCGTTAAGCTTTAGGATTTAGATTTCTGGGAGTTTTAATGTGCAGGTCAGATTTGTAAGCGTTCCGGGAATGACAAATTCTCAGGTAGAATAGAACGACATCCATTTCGTGAAGCGCCACTTAGTTGTAGGGTTTAGGATGTGCAGGTTATAGCTCCAAATTTGGGCATGGAATAAGCGGTTCTTGGAACCCAACTCCAAAATTAGGAGGAGCTAACATAAGACTAAGACTATAGTAGGGTCCTAATTTGAATTGGCAGTTACCACATCCCCCTAATATCCTGTAGGGATTGCGAAGCTACAGCTTGAGGCTTCGTGCTTCTGGCTCTCTATCCCGCATGGAACCCTGTCAAAATTGTGTTTGGCTGCTCATTTGATCTACAGCCAACGTTTTCCACATAATTCATGGACATGTCTTCCTGTTCAGGTGTATACATACATAAATAGAGGACTATACCAAACTACAAAAAAGCTCTGTATCCACTAGTCATGGTCCCTTGGCTTCCCCCCTATTGGCTGTACCTGAAGTCTGGAACAAACCAAAAATGCAGGTTTCCGGCAAAAAACGGAGCGATTATGGACTTTCTACTATAGCCCTTTAGAAGGATCCCCAACTAAAGGGCCTCCTTTTTTTCTGGAGGCCGCCAAAGTATTCTCCGACATTTCCGGGTCTTGTGGGCGGTCTAGGGCCAGCATTGGTTCAAGCTTCAGCCTTGATCCCTAAACCCGAAGCTCAGACCCCCAAACCCCAAGCCCCCTAAACCCTGAAACACCCTAAACTGCCTTAGACTAGACCCTCAAGGCGCCCTTCAAGCCCTAAACCCTACCCTCTCCCAAACACCCTAACCCCTAGACCCTAAATCCTGAACCTAGACTAAGACCCTAAGCCCTTCCCAAATCCTGAAGCCCAAACCCCAAAACCCAAGACCAAGATTCTGGCCGGCTGTACACGTCAGACACGACTCCCTCCATTCCCCTGGTGTTCTTGACCTCAGAGGGTTAGTGCATGTTAGGTTGGTACATTTTCAGTAAGAGGTATACCAGGTTTATATGTGCCATAGTCTAAACTCCTAGTATCCCCTTCATAACCTCCATAATACTCCCCTAAATATTTCCCCACACAATACCCTTTAAGGAGTTTGGACTATAGCTCAAAAAGGGCTTAGGGATATTTAGGATTTAGGGTTGCGAGGTTTAGGGTTGCCAAGGCTTTAAGCAGGGTTTTGGGTTGTAGGATTTAGGGTTTAGGATTTAGGTTTTAGGATTTAGGGTGTAGGATTTAGGGTTTAGGATTTAGGGTTTATGGTTGAGGCTTGAGTAATGTAGAATGACATGGAAAGGGACATGGACAATGACATGCAACCTGAGATGGTAGGGAATTATAGGTTCAGGGCAGTTGCCTGGCTATAACTTGGGTGTTTCCTACTACGGCTTCCAGCAAGCAATCAGTCACAGTCTTGGTAAATTCTTCCTTAGGACACCACCAACTACGAGTCAATCTCAAAGTAAACCTTGAGCCCTTCTTTCAAGTTCGTTCCCATAAGCCTGCGATAGAAACAGGATACCTTTTGGGCATGTGCTTTCAATGGCACAGGGAACCCCATAATACAATATGGCATACAGGATCCGTTGCGAGGAGAACTGGACTTCAGGGTTTAGGGTAAGCACCCTTAACATTCGACCCTAAGCCCTTTGAACTCTAAGAACCCTAAGCCCTATGATCCTAAACAGTATCAATCCTAAGGTCCTAAACCGTATAAACCCTAAAGTGCCCAAAGCCCAACCAACCTGAAGCGCTAAACCCGCAACCTGAAAAGCGACAAACCTTAAGACCCTAAACCCTAGCAGCTAAGGTTTGAGGGTTTAGAATTCAGGGCTAAGCTCTGAACCCCTACATCTGAACAACTTCATGTACATCCCTGAAGAGCTACGACAATTCTATTCCAGGATATTCCATACTTGTAGTATGCTAGCGTAACTCCCTAAAACCCTATTCCGCACCCAGACCCCTAGTGCCCTAGTATTGTTGGCCCTACTTGCAGGGTCAGGGAGCGTAGTAGATGAAGTTATAATCCCTACAAGCCCTATAATAACCCAGCGATTTTGATTTTCACCTGCTTACGCCTGAACCCTAAACGCTGCACCCTGAACCCTACTCACTAAGCGCCCCTGATCCTCCATAGGCGGAACAAGGCTACCGAGTTTGCAGACTCGCATGCCAGGCTCCACTTCCACGGGCGAAGCCTCAAAGTAGCCGGCAAGTTCAGGTTTTTGTTGGCTGAAGCTTTACGGCTTTAGAGTTTAGGGCTCAGGCCTTAGGTTTTCGGGAGTTAGGGTTCAGGGATCAGGGATTAGGGTTTTCAGAATCACTACCGTGGGCCCCTACTTGGGCTTGTAGGGCTGTATGGACAGGTCCTAGATCTACAAGGCCCCCCAAATTAAGAACCCATACTACACCGGATGGGGGCAATCAGGGGCCATGAATGGTGCCCATAATTTGGAACTTGAACTTAAAGAACTCTACAGATAACCCCCGCTTGGGCTGTAGGGGCTTCAGAAAGCACATGCGCTTGATTTTCATGTTGTAGCACTACACCCCACACCCTAAACCCTGAGTGGGGCCTAACCTAAGTGGTTTTAGGCGTTGGGGGCTTTATGCAGGGGATTCGCAGGGACGTGTAAGGTGTCGGATTTAGGGATGTCTCCATCAAAAAAGGCCTCTGGGAGTATATGTGGGCTTGAAGGAAATTAGGGTCCATTTTTGTGGGGGCCCCCGAAAAAAGATGAGAGTGTTGTTAGGTATTGACTGAGGTCCGTTATTTATGGAAGATACAATATACCTTTACTTATTTATTGCAGCTTGCGCAATACGATGACATGGCGGGGTCTTGGATCGAGCTCTTTTGAGATCTTAACATCTGGGACGGACTTTGTGCGCAATTCTCCATGTCAATATCTTGGGGGGACCCTAAACCCTAAACCTTCATAGGCTTTCTTTCCATGTTTTGATCTCGACCCCGCAAACATTGGATTGCTGGGAGGGTATGATTTCGTGGATGTTATGCTGGGGGCGTATAATGGTGGTTCTGTCCAACCGCGTTGCGAGCAGTAAACCCTGAACCCTAATCCCTAATCCCTAAACCCTAAATCCTAAACCCTAGATCCTAAACCCTAAACCCTAAAGCCTAAATCCTAAAACCTAAATCCTAAACCCTAAATCCTAAACCTTAAACCCTACACCCTAAACTCTAGTGGATTCGCTGCAGCTCCGCTAACTGCAATTGTGGCTGCATAGCGCTGTAGGACACTGCGAATCTAGGATACTGGTCTGCCATCATAGCATTGTACGTACCTCTATATTAGGGTTTAGGGTTTAGGGAAATATGGGCCCATTATTTTGACAACCACCCATATAACCCCTAAACCCTAAACGCCAAAGACTCAACAGGAGCCAACGTTGTGCAGAGATATGGTGCCCCTGAAGTAGGTAGACTATGGAATTACCCCACCCCACAATAAAATCTCCCCAAAAACCTCACATTCTTTCTAAGGCAGGGTTTAGGGTTTAGGGTGGACTATAGGTTCTTGCCTCTTTTCCAGTCCCTGATTTTTGTGATTGTGATGGAGGGGGGAGATCTGGGCCCCAAAGGGGAATTCAAAGCACCGCCACCACCCGACACATATACATATACATATATATATATATATTACATATGTATATATATTAATATGTATATATATATATATGTATACATATACGCATACATATGCATGTATGTACATATATATATATATAGTAGGGATCATATATGCATATATTCATTTTTTGGGGTCGGGGGTTTAATACTAGCATGCTCATATGACAGGATTTCACCATCAACCCAATAAACCAGGTCCTGATCCGTGAGCCGCGAGGCAACCATGAACTGAACTCCTAAAACCCTGAACCGCGAACGACTCTCCCAATGAATTGGCTGTGCACCACAAACACGCAAACTTTGCAACCCTAGGCCCTACTTGCGGTTTAGGGTTTAGGGTTTAGAGTTTAGGGTTTAGGGTATAGGGTTTAGGGTTTAGAGTTTAGGGTTTAGGGTATAGGGTTTAGGGTTTGACATTTGGGTTGTTCTCAAAATTATGGCCCCTTTGATTATGGATTATATTACGGCACCTAATATTGAGGGGTACCAAAATGGGACCCTGATTTCGGGAACTACCCATGTGATCTCAAGTCATAAGTTGAGCTATACTTCCAAGAGACGTCTTTACAACCAAGCTTTGCGGTCTAGTTACCAAGTTATAAAGTAGTTTCCTTAAGTAGAGGGACTCCGATATAGCCCAAACCCTTTTTAATGCACAAATTTTAGCAAGAAATATAGGGACCCCCCAAAAAGGTACCCCCTAAATCCTAAACCCTAAACCCTGAACCCTCACTTTTACAGATTACAAATAGAAATTAACCTTCTAGTTTGGCCCAGCCTCAGCCTGCAAATCGGCTGGCTGCTTCACCTTGGTACACTGCTTGAAGCCCAAGATCAACCCTACATCTTCGGGTTTTAGGGTTTAGGATATAGGGTTTAGGGTATAGGGTATAGGGTTTAGGGTTTTAGGGTATAGTGTTTAGGGTTTTAGGGTTGAGGGTTCAGGTTTTTGGGCTTAGGGTTGGGTAAGCCCTGAATGGCAAGCTTCTTAAATGGAACACAGGCTAACTACGAAGTACTCAGTGCGGATGCAGCATGGACCTCGAGGTTAGTGCTTTAATTCCAGATCTTCATGAGTCCTCCTCAATCACCCTAAACCATAGACCCGAAGGTCATAAGACCAAACTTGAATGGCCCATGGTGACGTCCCTCCTGTACCCTAAATCCCGAATCCCAAGCCCTGAGCCCAAAACCCGGAACACTAAGTCCTACACATTACACCCGACCTGCCCGACCCCCTCCGAAAGTACCCTTTATAGAGTCCAAAAACCCACAAATGGGATCTGTATAGACCCTATTCCAAGGTATTTCGGGGAGGTCCAAGCGAAATCTTCAGCCCCAAACCCCTAAACCCTAAAACCTTAAACCCTAAAACCTAAGACCCTACAACCCTAAAACGTAAAACCCCCAAACCCTAAATCCTCAAACCCTAAGCCCTATACCCTAAGGATGCTGTTAGTCAGGCTCCGACAACAACTGGGACGTGTCCATTCGGCACCACCTGCGATGCACGCTGTCTTACTTTATCCTAGGGCTCCTAGTTACCTGAATAATGGGAACTGGGTTCTATATACCCTGTAGCTACATAGACAAGAGGCCTAGGGTTAGGGATTAATTTGCCCACGTTACCCTAGGAAGAAAAAAGGCTCAGTCTGTGTGGTACCAACCGCCCCCCCACTAGGAAGAAAAAAGGATCTGTTTTACATAGACATAAGGAACCCCATACCCCAAAAGCATAAAGCATCCCTAGCATTGATCCATATTAGGGTTTAAGGTTTAGGGATTGGGGCTTAGGGTTCAGGGCTGAAGGTACTTGACCTACTTGCGCTTCAGGGGGAGTGGGGGAAAGAACATTCTGCTATGGGGGATAATATGGGGATTGTAAAGGGGTTATTATAGGTGCGCGCTGTTACGTAATACCAAAAAATAGGCGACCATAATGGGTGTAAATTGGGGTTTGGGTTTTAGGGCTTAAGAGGGGGAACTGAAGTCAGTTACCATCATGGGTACGGCTAAAGGGCGCAAATCAGTCAAACGACCAGGAAGGCGACTCCACCCCACGCGCATGGACCTCCAAATACTACCTGTAGTGTTCAGGATTTAGGGTTTAGGCTGAGCCAGAGACCTCTTTTCAGTTTCCAGAAGGTCAAGTAGCTCCTCTTGAAAAGGGGACAAACACTCGCTTCATCGACACCTCGAAGTACCTACATACCCCACATAATCTGATGCAACTTCGTATGTTAACCCTACATACTCCTATGTAACCCTCTAGAAATCTATATCTACATATGTCTCTATATATATATATATGTACACATAACCGTGTATTCCTCACTCTGCTGCGTACCAGCTCGGCCAACTATGCATGTCCCTTACACCCAAGACCCTAAATTTCCCAAGAGCAAGCCATAAACCCTAAGCCCAAAGCGCCCTGTAAAGACCAGCATCCTTGTAAAGGCCATCTTTCGTGGCGTGCTATGTTAGGTTGAGGAAGAGCTGAGTAGAAGGATCACCGCAAGTGACTCAAAACTCGACAACCTTGCCATATGACGCCGCTGAAACCTCAAGAACCTCTTGAAACACGCCTTCTACGCTCTTAAGGTCTGACGGTCGTGCTTACGCAAATGCTACCCTAAATGGTAGTTTCCATTTTCTTTTCCAGTATCCCAATGTAACCCCAATGTAAGAGTATGGATGCTCAACACCTGCAGCCCAAAGCATATGATCTGCAATCTGCGAGCCCCGGACCTTGCATGTTTGACCTTAAACTGTAAATCCCAAACGCTTTCGCCAGTGAACTGCCAAACAGGAACTCCATTAGGGTGTAGGGCTCAGGGAATCCTAGATTCTACTCAGGCTGCTAGAAAGGGTCCCACTCTGGTACATGAAGCGCTGTGCCGAAGCTCCCAGGAAGGATCCCATGCAGAGTCCCCAAACTGCAAGAAACAAGAGTCTCAAGCTGAAATCCTGGCCCCCCCCTGCCCTTGCAGACCCTAAATCCTAAGCCTACTGGTGGTTAGTAGGGAATATGGGAATATGTTATATAGGGGTCATAGAGGGATAGCATTCCCTTATTCCCTACTAACCACCAGGAAGTAAGCCGTGAAGTAAACTTATGGGTTCTCCTGACTAACCCCCACCTTCACTACCCCCGCCCGGAGCTTACCCCTGAACTAACCTTAGTTAACCGTAAAGAAATTACGGTAAGCTTAATCACAGGGGAGGGGGAGGGGGTAGTATAGAGAGCGTAATGGAATCCATTATGGCAAGGAGTTGTCCGGGTTTGCACCCTGGGGTTTGGATCCCTAAGCCATGCCCTCAATGCTAAACCCTACAACCTAGACCCTAAACCCTCAACCCTAGCTTACCTAGGGTATTTCAGAGCCCACACACACGGTTACAAACTTTAAGGGAACAGACTACAACCTTAAATCCTACTTGCAGGGTCAGGGGGGCCTAGTAAGTAGATTGATAACGCAGATAACTGGGGTCATGATATGACCTATAGGGGCTATACGGAGTCCCCTGACCCTGAAAGTAGTCCCTCAACCTAAACCGAAGGCGTTTTGCCAAGCCTCTGGTGGCGATCCTGGGGGCTCACGATGCAGGACAGGCCTCAAAACAAATATATATATATATACGTATGTATATATAATATGGATATGTTGTGTTCCTCTCCTCCCCGTTCAGGGTTTAGGGTCTTATGTTTTAAAGTTTTAGAGTTCAGGGTTTTTCAATGTACGGTTCATGGCTTCGAAGTTTAGGGTAGTGGAGCAAGTGGGGTCCGTCCCACTTGCCCCACTCGCCCCCATGGCCCCACTCGACCCACTCGCCCCCACTTGATCGAATTGCCTCACTTGCCCGAATGACCCACTTGAAACACTTACTCCGCTGGGCCCACTTGCTACACTTCTCCCCTCCAAGCAGGTCAGGTCAAGTGGGTCAACTAGGGCCAGTGGGCAGGTGGGTCAAGTGGGTCAAGTGGGGCAAATGGGATTGTAATGTTCCACCCCCCTGCGTTCGCAATGTATATGTATATATATATATATTTTTTTTTTAAGATGAGCTCCAGCAAGAAAACCAATCACAAAGCATTGTCCACCTTAAGCGCCAGAGCCTCAACACTCGAACAGCACTTTCCCTGAACCGCCAGGTTGTCAGGTGAGAGCGCTCTCAGAAAAGAAGCGCAATCAGCAAAAGCACACGGATCCCGCGAAGACATGGGCTTGTACCATGGAATAATGACTGCTTATCAGGTGGTGCAAGGTTTAGAAGAACACGACAACCCTCACCGAATTCGTAATCAAGACCCACATATCCAATTGTAGTCCACACACAAGAAGGTAGGAGTGTAACTTATGCATAGCAGGTTTGAGTCAGAATCATTGGCAGGCAAAATGGTTCGGTCTTGATTTATGACCTCCCTAATTGGACACCGGATGTATATACTCAACAATGAACCATGCACATGTATACTCACCGGGAGCCCATAAGATAACTCCACAGCACCTTTCACATGTCCATGGGGCCCCTTACGGGCCGCAATTATCAGAAAATCCAAGAGGTCAGTTCCTGCAAACTACCCCTAAGGATCCAAATAGCCCAATGCAGGTAATATTTACAGACGTCAGGGCCCAATGTAGGTATTATTTGTATACTTGGATCCCCCAAAATTACCCTAAACCCCTAAACCTTAAACCCTCGACCCCTCAACCCCCCAACCCCTAAACCTTAAACCCTTAACTCATAAACCCCAACTCTAAACCCTGTAAGGTTCTGACGGCTGCGGCTTTGGTCTCGCCTGTGATGGAACGCTGGCCTGATGCGGGAGTGTGAGTTAAGAGCCTAGGGTTTAGAGGTTTGGGGTTCATGATTTGATGTTTATGGTTTGCGGTCTAGGGTTTAGGGGTTTAGGGTGTATCAGTGTGAGCGCGCGGTGGGTGCACTTGTAGGCTCAAGTTAGGAGCGCGCACACTCTTCGCGCGCTCGCTTAGCCAGAGGTCCCGCCCCAACTACCCTAACACTTCTCAATTAGGATTTAGGGTTCCCCGAAACCCCTTAGCAACGGGGGCTTTCTGATTTCTTTTCTCTCCAGTTCTGCTGTTCACTCAAGGTCACACCGCCACAGTTTTTTTCAGCTGACGCGCGATGACTTGGAGAGCTTCTGTATTTCGACCAGAAAAAGGAGTCGGGCAACGGACGGATGGGGGTAGCGGAGGCCTTGGCCATCCTCCACGCGTGGATCTTGCCAAATGCTCTAAAAAGCACCGGGAAGCGTCATGATGATAAGTGATGATGTCAGCAGGCGAAACCTTTGGCCTGCTGCAGACCTTCTGAGGGGCGCGCTGACTGGCATCGGGAGGTCTCGAGGAAAGGGTCGAGGCTTCTTGAAAGGCACCTGGAGATGGGTCTGAGGGGCTGTCTTCGAGGCACCTGAAAGTGTTAAGCGGGTGAAGCCCTGCAAGCCCGGAAGGCCTCAAATGAGGTCTTGAAAGGCCTTTGGGAGGCCCCTGCAGGAGACTCCTATAAGGCCTGCTGTTTTCAGACCACTGCAAAAGTCTAGGTCTTGGAGGGCCTGGGGGGCTTGACCCTCCCAGGCCCATTGGTTCGTTCTGCTGCCAAGCCGGAGGCCTGTCCGCAAGGCTCGAGCCCACACGTATATTGCCAGCGTCGCACTGGTTAGTTTAGGGCTTAGGGTTAGACTTTAGAGTTGAGGGGTCTAGGGTATAGGGTTTAGGCTTTTGGGGTTAGGGTTTAGGATTTAGGGGCTTACGGTTCAGGGTTTAGTGTTTAGGGCTTAATGTTTAGGGTTTGTAGTGTTTAGGGGTCAGGGTTAAGGTAGGGTGCGGGTTTAGGGTCTCTATAGGTGTTTAGGGTTTATACTTCTCGTAGAAACAGGATGAACGCACAATGAATTGAAATCTGGAGTCGAGGGGCCTGGTATAGTGTAGGGATTGTATGCAGAGATTCTATTAGTATATAAGCATAGTAAGGGCATATCAATACACATTTTTGAGTCTTCTACAGTACAACTAAGTTATGACTGTACATAATGTACATAATGCAAAACAACACGTGCACACAACATGAAGATCTCCGCTTCCATGGGCTTTAGATATCTTTGGATGGAGCAGCGGCGCACTTCATCAATGCAATGGCATGTCTTTCGACCTATGCTCCTCATAGTCGTACCGGAAGCCCCAAACCCCAAACCCCAAATCCTACACTTACAGCAAGTCCAGACCTGAGCCTGACGGAGGAAACATCAACAGGCTTCGACATGGTCAAACTATAAGTCGCAGCTGACTTACTATTCTTTGGGATGTCCAAGTCTGTCAACCATCCTCACTTCTGACCCTAAAGGCCAACAGTAAGCAATACGTTGGGCAACAACCCTAACTCAAATTGCAAAGCAGTTGATGCAACGGCCCCGAGACATTAACACAACCCAAAACCCTAAACCGTAAAACAAGCCCACTGCTGGTGTCCTAGCCTGCTGCGCTGGCATCGGAGGAGACGAACTCGACACGGCAGGATCTGACAAGGTTTAGGATTTAGGGTTAAGGGTGTCGGACTTCAGGTTTCGGGTTTAGTTGTTTCGTTTAAAGATCTAGGGTTCAGGGTTTAGGATCATTCCATAAGGGTCATAGGTGGATCTTTTTCTCAGGGTTCACGGGTTAGCTTGTTGTTAACCCTCCTAGTACCCTTAATTACGGGTATCGATGACCCCTAATAATGGTTTGTTAGGCCCTAGAAAAGTGTATGCGGATGGTCCTGGGTCCTTGGTATCTCAGGTTTGCAGGTAGCCGGCTCATACCCTTCACAACGTGAGCTTGTGAACAAAATATCCGGAAGATGAAAAACATGTGGGAGTTTCCTCAAATCAGGGGTCCCTTACCGTAGGATATACACACTACTTAGTAGGGATATGCAGGTTTTGTGAAATACGGCTTAAGGTTCAGGATTTTATCAAAATTAGTGGGGCATTCTTGGGACTCCCCATAATCAAGTTAATAGGGATTACAGTAGCGTTATGGGGTCTATACTGGGGTCCCCCTATCGGGAAACTACCATGCGAATCTCGACCAAACGACGAAGGCAGACTTCTGTACCAACTCCTGTACTATACAGCCAGTTTAGACCCGCAATGAATGCAACATGATTGGATGGTTGCACAGAGCTTTACCCTAAACCCTAAACCCTAACCCCTGTTGCCCTTCAAGCCCTCAAGCTTTAATTTCGCAGCCTTGAACTCAAGACAGGAACTTGGCAAGGTCCATTGGGTTTAGGGTTCAGGGATTCAGTCCTCCTGCTACTGTTACTAATGGGTTTATGCTACTGCTAACTGCTACAATAGCAAGAGTTAATAACTGCCACTACAACAAACTATACGATTACATATGGGACTTTGTCAATTAATTCCCCATACGCTCCCCAATCATCCCCCTAAATCCCTACATATGCCTCAGGGTCCCCTGAGCACTTAAACAAGAGGCGTAAACCCTAAATCCTAAACCCTGAATCTTGAGCTGTAGATATCTTACAAGTCCACTTACTGCAAGTGCCTCGATCCTCAGGCGGAAGGCCCACCACGTCGCTGGGCAACCAGTTGGTCTGGCGATAAATCAAGAGCGCAGAGGTTCACGTGTAGGATTGCATTGTTAAGGGTTCAGGGTGTAGGGCTTAGATGGCCGAACTCCGCATGTGCTTCTGCGCCATCCACTATCGCAAGACCCCGAATCCTGTACCCTAAGTATGGTTCGGGGCTCTAGCTTAAACTCCAATACCCATGATAAAACCTACATATCCATTTCGGGGGGGCTTAGGGTTTCAGGGTTAAGGCCTAATCCCTAAAACCTAAGCTACAGACCCTTATACAGCCCCAAACCCGTGCAAAGTCGGACCTGTCCCGTCCGTAGGTTGTGGCCGCAGAACATTTCGTTTTGTTCCTCAGTCAGGGCTCAGGGTTGAGGTAGGGTTTGGGAGTTCAGGAGTTTAGGGTTAAGGAGCTTAGGGCTTAGGGGTTTAGGTAGTAGTTTCCATGATCTTTTTACTGTCGGTCATAACCTAATGCTTGCAGCCGTTCGAGATGCAGACTATGAAGGCCTAGACCTGTAGGATGTGGCTTGGGGGCCTTAGTATGCCATTTATCCTGGGGTCCGTATATATATATAGATATGATACTCTACAAGACCTTATTAAGCGCCCAGAGTTAGGATGAAACCCTAAACCCAAATCCCCAAAATTAGGGGCAAACAGTTTGGACCTTACACTCAAGGATGGAGCTGCCGAGGACTTTACGTAGGCTTGACATGCCCAGGATTCGCATGGGCTGTGAATGACTTATAGGTTTACAGAGTTTAGGAACCCAGGGCTACGGGTTGAGGTTTAGGGTTTAGGGTTTAGTTATACTGCAAACCCTGCTGGATCTTGCTCAGCTACCATTTGTAGGAAGCTATTTGTGCTAGAAGCATCGCCCCGAACCCCTAGTCCAAAACCCTGAATCCTAAACTCTCCACTGAAGATCCTAAGGGCAGAGTCCTAAACCCTAACCCCGGACTTCAGATGTTCATGTACACATATATATATATATACAGAAGACATATGAGCTGTAGTTTAAATTCCTAGCATCTCCCTTAATAAGCCCGATAATACTCCCCGAAGTAATCCCCTATGTAAGGTCCTTTAAGGAGCCTAGACTATAGCTCATACGTATGCGCATATATTAACATGGTAGTTTCGAGAAAAATTGGGGGCCCTACTCTAGACCCCAGGAATCTAATAATCCTTCTTATAAGTACCTCAAGATGGGACGCCGGAGTGTTGGAACACACCAAAATCCAAAAGTATGATCTAGCTGACTATCTATCGAAACACTAAACCCGAAACCCTAAGACCTAAACCCTTCGCCCCAAGCCCTAAACCTGCTTTTTGGGCCCATGGCTGGGTGCGTTAAGACCACTCGATCACCTTGCCTTGGGTGCATGTAGTGGTTTAGGGCTTAGGGGTTTGGTGTTCAAAGGTTGGGAGGTTCAGGGGTTTAGCACCGCAGGGGTTTAGGGTTTAGGGAGCTACGCAAGTCCAACAGGAACTCGCTACCGCTATCCGCAAAAAAAGGTGTACAAACCCAAAGGGGTTCAGGTATTCGTATGGCACATGTACTTGGGATTTTCCTGGAGCCTTTGGGTGGGGTTTTGGGGATATACAGTTCTACCTACACCCTTAAATCCTACCTCATATGTTGGGGTACCTAACTCTATGTCTGGTATCTTCTATGTACAAAATTAGGTGCCCGAAAAAATGGGTAGGGTCTGAGGGTCTAGGCACAGAGACCCTTGAATGAGCATGCAGTCAGATGTTTCTGTGTCAAGAACATACCACGGACACTTTCAGCAAGAGAGATGCTCAGGGTGGGGCGTGCTGCATGCGTTTCATGCTACGGAAATTTCTGCAGAAAGGCTTCTCCTTCCTTCACATGCCGAAATGGTGAAAATGACAAATGGCCATACCATGTGTCTTCATGCAAGAAGCTGGCCTCCGTGCTAGAGACCCACGGAATTTGTGGGGATGACAAGGCTATTTCCTCTTTTGGGGCACAAGATATATGGATGTTAGGCGGTTTAGGGTTTAGGAGTCCAATATTGGGTCCTACTGTAGTATGTCCTCTGGTACCCAGGATACCCAGAAAAGAACCACCGGTTTGTCAACCCCCCAGGTCGGAGGAGGCGCTGAGGCACTAGGTAGGCCCATCACCAAGCACTAGTGCGATTAAGCTGTGTTTCTAGAAAAATAGGTAAAACCGATTCTGGGATATTACTTGCGCATGATTTCGGTGTTCCGTAGGTATATAGCTGTATAGAACCCTGTGATACGCTCGATGCAATCACCTTTCGCAGTAGTGCTTTCAGTCAGGAGGCCGAAGAGTCGTGGGGCTATTCTCTTAGCCCGCATTACCCTCGGAAGAAAAAAGGATCCTTTTACATAAATATAAGGAATCCCATACCCCGAAAAAGTATAAAGGTCGCGTCCTTGGATNNAGTAAACCACCCCGCCGAATGGCTTGGTGGTGACTTTACAAGTGAGACAGCGAGCTACCGGAGTCTACGGAAATTAGGAGGGAAGTCCTCTGGAAATTGAACCGGTTTGGTAGGACGAGGCAAAGTGACGAAACAATTCAAGGAACGGTTCTGAGGCTGGATGTGAGTGCGCAAGGCCGCGGCGACTGAGTCTGGATTCAACAAAGAAGGACGCACAGACAAGGACCTGGTCTTGTTTGAAAAGATCGGGCGAAGACTGTAAAGCTGCCCTGCCTTTACGGGAGCCACCTGGTGATGTGTCTGGAGCCACTTGAAAATGTTTGTGAAAAGAGAGGCCACTTCCCGCAAGTGCGGTTTTGGTAACATCCCTAACATTGATCCAGTTCTGCCGACCCCAGTACATTGGCCGCCACAGACTAAGGCCTTGTACCAGGGATGAGTGGGGATAACCTAAACCCTAAACCCCAAACCCTACACCGCTTGGATCGTTAGGGCTTCTTCGTCGTCTGGGTTGTGGGACTGCGCATTAGTGGTGCTCATGGGAGTCCTACGGTATGGGTTTAGGGTTCAGCATATGACCAGCAACAGCAGGTGGGCTGGAGAGTCTGCTTCCGTGCGCTAGATAGATGTTTGGTAGTTTCCCTAAATGGGGGTTATATGCGGATAATGGAAAAGAAAATGGAAGCTACTATTTAGGGTTTCGGGCTTTAGCCCTTGAAGCATACACTCACTTTGTAGCTGCAGATTTCCGAACCTACCATGCCCTAAACTAACATGGAACCTGACAAGTGCCCTTTACAGACTCCTGTCCTTTTAAGGGTTTAGGGTTTAGGGCCATAGGGTTTAGGGCTTAGGGTTTGGGGGTTTAGGGTTTAGGGTTTAGGGCTTTGGGTTTAAGACTTTAAGCGTGTACGTGCGGTTCCACATTGCTCTTCGGTACTCTGCACTCCGGATTCCTTCTGGCAAGACCCCACAGGCGGGGTATCAAGGCCCCAACTGCTGCGATAGAAACGAGCACAGCTCCACGTATAACGCACTGTATTAAGAGAAAGCAAGCTGGGATATCACTGATATGAACGAAAGCCTGGCGTTAAAACCTTATGTAAGCACCCTTCAGCCACAAGCCCATACATCGAATCTTTCGCCTTTTCCAAGAAAGCCAAGGGACTCACCCGTGAATGTAATCACTTCTATGGCGGGCATATGGGCATTTCGCAATCACACAGCGGTCCACCCAACTACTTCCCATTTTGTACCGGTAAGAGGCAAAACCCGAAACGCTGCACCTTCTACCCTAAGCTTGCTGGTTGTTAGACGGGAATGGAGGACTGGATTCCCATAGTAGCCTAAGACAAGCCCCAACAACACACAAAGTTTCCACTTTCTTTCCCATTCCTTCACTCTATGCTACAAACCCCAGACTGGTTTAGCCCCTAAGTCCCTTTGACACATATTCGTATATAGGGTCACCTATTAATGCCAGCAAGAAAAATAATAAATATCCCAGGGACCTACCCATTAAATCCTGAAGAACAAGTTGAGGGCTGCACTGCGTGGACAGGAAATTAGCATCCCCGCAGAAGGTCTGCATCAGAGATTGGGGGATTTAGGGTTTAGGGTTTTAGGGTTTCAGGGTTTAGGGTTTAAGGGTTTAGGGTTTAGTGTGGGGTTTGGTATGGGCAGAGGGAATATGGGTCATATCTTGGGAAGTTGCATGTGACGACTCCTAGGTTCCCCAGTGACCCCTTAATAATGAGGGTGCATTTTCCTGTTTTAATAAGGAGAAGCCATAAATAGGGAAAATAGACCACTGGGGCACCTGGAACCCAATGAACCCTAAACCCTAAACCTGTACCTGGGTTTTCATGGGTCTCAAGTGCTTGCAGGTCTAGGCTTTCGGTGCCTCTTCTTGTATGTGTTTCCTGGATCCGCATACTACATGGGCTTAGGCGATCCCAGGATGGAAGGCACAAAGCCTTTGGATGTGTGTCTGAAAGAAGAAGGGAAGTACTCTGACCTACTGTATTGTCTACCCTGCGCCCGAAACTCTGTAACTGAAACCCCAAACTCTACAGTCCTCAGACACCTTTGACCGCAGCACCTCCACTCCTAGGATTTGGTTACATAGGGTGACAAACCGCAAACCAAACCGACCGGGTACATAGGACTTGGGTGATTTAGGGCTTAGGGTGATAAAACCTGATCCAAGCCGATTCTAAACCTCCAGTCCGACACCTCAGACTCTAACCCGTCCATATTTCCAAGATGTCAAGCCTGAGTCCCTGAACCCGAGTTTGTCGGGCTGCAGAACCTCTGGAACAAATTGTTCAAGTAATCCAAGGTTCATTTTCCAATGATCTGGGAGTTTCTTTTGCTCAAGGGCCCTTTCTGAAGTTTTGGATCATAGGCATCCTATTATGAATGGTGGTTGGTAAGAAATTTTAGAAACTTCCCACAAACCCTAAACCCTAAACCGCGTAGAGCGTATTCCCCAGCCTTCACACACTGGGCGGGAGGGCCGACCGGTGTCCGTGGGGCACCTGTCAAAACAAAGTTCCCTGAGGCCTACATCCTCAAGTTTAATCCTTAATCCTAAGTGTTTTGGGTTTAGGGTTTATCTAGGTGGGGCTTTTCAGAAAAGGGATCCTTCCTGCAAGACTTCATAGTATGAAGATCACGGCCCAAATCTTTTGGCCAAACGAGGGGAACCACTTTCGTTTGAAGTGCATAAGTCATGGGTTGCCCTACTAGCCCGCTCTATACTACCCCCCTAGGTTCTCCGCTTAATTAAGGTTATTCAGGGATAATCAAGCCTAATGAAGGTTAAATAAGGGGGAACCTCTAGGGGGTTAGTATAGAGGGGGGTGGTAAGGAAATCCATGAATAAGGTTCAGCCCTTCCTGTGGAGTCCTACGCAATGGCCAATAATGGAGGAGGGAGCAGCTGAAAAACATAAAGAGGGTCTTGACACTGGTAAGTATTCGGGCTCCCTCATTTATAGGTACTCTTTTAGGGGTTCCTAGAAAAAGTCGTGTTTGGGGGTCTAGATGGGGTCCCCCTGTTTATGGAAATTATGACGTTCTCTGTACATAATGACATTGCAACTGTTATCTGAAGGCTTATCCTTTGGGGTACGGCTATTGAAGACTATCAAGCATGTGGCTTGAGTAATGCCCCCACCCTGTAGCAAGTCAATAATAGGGGTCATATGAACCTAAACCCTAAACCACTAAGGCCCATACCCTAAGTATGCTGAGTATTTAATGTCAACTTCGGATTATTAATGGGGGTCGTATTAGAGCTAAATCAGGCCTGAACGGAATAATAAAAAGGGGGTCGTATTAGAGCTAAATCCGAGCTGAACGGATTAATAACAACATAGGAACGGAATAGTGCATGCTGGCCCAGGCAGAAAAAAAAAAAAGACAAAAAGAGAACAGCCTCTACGTTCACGGTTTAGAGTT